TGGCGGCACCATAGAGTTCATGTTCTAATGGCTCTCTTCACTTCCCATTTCATTCCGGTTTTTCGTTGTTCGAACAAAAATTAGAAAACATTTGATAAAAAAATGTGTTGAATTGTCATTTTGGTATTTGTTGGAAAAAGTCATTTTGCATCAAGTGGATAGCTTAGCTTTTGCAATAAATCTATGTTCTATTAAACTAGTTGACAAGGGAAAAACCTCGGTGCCCAAAGAAAATTGCACAAATGGGATTAATGAGCTCCACCATTCAACTCCTGGGAGCCGGATTAATTATTTTGAAACCTTTTCTTGTTAGAAACCCAATCCATGTGTGTCTGTCTAGGGTTTAGAGATCAAAGATTTGTAGGAAATTAGAGATTGGAATGGGAATTAGGGAATTTGATGTGATCCTGGATCGTGGGTAAAAACCATTCCCATTGATGTTCAAAAAAGAAACTAAGTCAAGGGAAGAAGAAGCTGGAAATTTGGCTAAGTCTGAAAACAATCCATGGGATTGGATGAGAAGATTGAAGCTTCCTGGACACCAAATGAGAAGCCTAAAGATCATATGATGATCAGGAAAAATACCCTATCAATTAGGTTAAATCCCATATAGGGAATCTGAGGTTCGAGATAGGGTATTTGGGTCAGAAGGACCCCCCCCCCCCCCCCCCCCGGTAAGGAGGGTTAAAATACTCTATAGGGTATTAGATGGTCTCGATAGAGCATTTTTTGGCTGGCAATTTTGAAGTTAATTTTTTTTATGATTCTTTTTCCTTTTCTGTACTTTCATTAGTTTTATTTTCCAAACCTATTTAAAGGATTGTAAAATCTATTTTGGGAGATGGGTGTTGAATAGAAAAAAAAAAAACCCTTTTCGGTTCATTGAGTTTTTGCTCTTGAATTTTGTCCTTGTTTGTTGGTAGATCTCCAGCATTCGAGTGAGCTTTGTATCAATCAAGTGTTCCCCTTGATTTTGGTCGAGTTGCTACCCATTATATTGTTCGAGCCTGATGGGCCCACGTGGTTGAGCAGAATCAGGCCTGAAGCCTAATGAGAAAGGCCAGTAAGCCCAGCCCAATAATGGACCCGACGACCGGGTGGTGACATAAGGCAGTCGCTCGTAGACAAGAAAGGAGGACCGCCTAACATAAAGCAGTGATGGAGACAGGTTAAGATCGATTTGGATCTACCTCGGTACAAACAAGACCAAGCATGAATTACCGTCGTAGGCGGTTCTGTACGAAATCAAGTAGGTTTAGGGTGCCTGACATGGCATTGAATGCCCTGAACCCATCTCTGTTGAGTATAAATAACCCCATGGGAGTATTGATGGTAAACTCAACTACTCTCTCTATCTCTCTAAACCTAACACATTCTCTATTCTCTCTCTAACTTAATCTTCAGAGGGTGTCCTGGGAAACCGCCCACGGAACCTTGTTTCATAGGGTTCAGGAGTATGTTGCCTCACCAAGAAAAAATGACTCGCTCGTGCTGTACACAAAACGCCTAGTACTTTCTAGACTCAAATAATTTGGCACCCACCGTGGGGCATAGAGTGAAGTACTGAAGAAATAGTGGACGAGAGCTTCGGAACCCCTGTTAAAGGTGTGATCGAACGAGAGAGAATTCGCGCGCTTGAAATGACAACCGTAGAGTAGGAAATGGAGATAGAAGACCGCGTAGAAGATCAGGGGCTGCAGATCTCCAACATACAGGAAAGCTTGAGTCATATCCTTGCCATGCTCAAAGTAAAAGACGCGTCAGAAAGCTCAAAAAGGCAGAAGGGCAAAAACAAGAGTTCATGTTGGCGATGCTATGACATAATGGCGATAAAGGAGGAAGGCAGTGATTGGCAGTCACCGCTTTTGATTATTTGTAGAACGACACAGTTCCCGGCGATGCTACCCAAGAAATAGCGCTAAGGAAAAAGGCGGTCCATTACACACTGATGGAGGTGAAGCTGTGCAAAAGATCTTTCTCAAACACATATCTGAAGTGCATGGGAACAAGCAAAGCAAAGTGAATGGTCAAGGAAATACACCAGGGAACATTCACTTCACACTCTGGACAAGGAAGCCTAGAGAGAAACATATTACTGCAAGGCTACTACTAGCCAACAGTGAGGAAGGATGCAATGGAGACGGTTCCGGGGTGCCACGAGTGTCAAGTGCATGCCAGCAAATAACATATGCACAGTGAGGAACTAAACAACATAACAGGACCATGGCCATTTGCGTAGTGGGGGTTAGATCTCCTAGGACCATTCCCCACTGCTCCTCTGGGAATGAAATACCTGGTGGTTGTTGTAGAATACTTCACGAAGTGGATAGAAGCTTAACCGCTCGACAAACTCACCAGTGCCAAAATTCAGAAAATCATGTTCAACAACATAATGATCAGGTTTGGGACGCCTAATACCATCATCACTAACCATGGCACACAGATTGACTACAGGCCGTTCGAGAATTTTGGTGCAAGAAACCGCATTATCTGCAAAATGGCCTCACTCACGTTTCCCTAAACCAATGGGCATGTCGAGTCATCAAACAAACTGATCTTACGAGGGCTGAAGAGAAGAATCAAGGAAGCTAAAAGATGGTGGATCGCAGAGATGCCGCATGTACTTTGGGCGCACCGCACAAATTACAAAAGAGCAACTAGAGAAACGTCGTTCACTTTGATGTACGGCTCTGAAGCTCTCTCACCAGAGGAGCTGGCCCTTTCGTCCCTGAGGGTTGAAACCTAGAACTAGGAGGAGAATCAGAGGAAGCTTCTTCATAAATTGGACATGATTGTACATGGGCGCTGGGTCGTGCTTGGGACGGCACGACACGGACACGCTTCAGCCCCATTTATTTCGTACCGTGCTTGGCACGGCCCGCCAGTTTTCGTGTCGTGCCATGAAAGCCTATTTGTTAACTTTGCTAGGCCTGGCCCAGGCCCGAGCACGGTTCAAATCGTGCCGTGCCTATTCGTGTTCGTGCCATGCTCGTATTCGTGTTTAATGAAAAGGACGAAAACAAAAGAGAGAATGAAAAAGAAGGTGAAAATTGGACGGGGGAAGATAGTATTAACCGATAATGTTTGAGAAAAGTAACAAATAAGGGGGAAAGAAATTGGAAGTATAGCGAGTGTGATTTGGCTTTGTTTAATTCTTTGTCCATATTTACTTATGTTAGTAATTACGTATATATCTTTATGACACTTCTAACAACAATAAATAATTATTTTCTACTTGTGTTTTGTAATATTTTAACCTATAATTATTTTTATATTTATTTGCTATCAAAAAAATTTATTTTCATGCCATGTTCGTTCTTATACTCAATAAAGTCTCGAAAATATTAGGCCCGACACGGCCCAGTTATATACCGCGCCGTGTCCGTGCTCGTGCCTGTGCCCATGAAGTTTATGCCCGGCACGACCCATAAATTATTCGTGCTCGTGCCGGGTTGGCCCATTTATTTCGTGCCCGTGCTCTAACCGTGTCGTGTCATGCTAGCCCGTGGGCGGCACGGCCCGGTGCCCACATACAGACATGATCGAAACATGGCGAGATGCAGCATTAGTTCGAACCATCAAAGAGAAGTCCAAGGTCATAAAGGCATACAAAAGAAGGGTGAAGCCACGACCGCTAGAAGAAGGTGACATGGTTCTGAAATGGAATTTTGAGCAAAAGGTAGGACACAACAAGCTGGCCGCCATATGGGAATGACCATTTCTCGTAAGAGAGAAAATAGGCCTCGAAACATACGAGCTTGCCACAATGGTAGGGAAGTCAGTGTCCAAGACATGAAATGCTATTCATCTGAAGAAGTACTTTGCAGAGTAGAGCAAAGATAAACTGCAAGGCTACCATGCATTTTGAATGATCGTAACCTCGATCACAGCCTATAGTGTATTTTGTCTACAATCTATTTATAACTATGATAGTTCAAGCGCCTCTGAGCATGCAGCATGTTTAAGAAATTCTTGGCAAGGCCAGCCGCCCCCTAGCAATTTAAGTTATAAATTCACAATTCAAATTTCTCTAGAGCGATACGCGTAAAATTATCTTTGCAATTTCAACCACCTCCGGGTATTAAGCTAAGAATTATTGGCAATTCAAACCGCTCCAGAGCGATAAGCTTCAAATTATCTTTGCAAATTCAATCACCTCCGGGTGATAAGAGTTATTCGCAATACGAACCGCCCCAAAGCGATAAGCTTAAAATTATCTACAATTCCTACCACCTCCAGATGATATATTAAGAACTTTTCACATCTCAGACCGCCCCCGACCGATATGTTATAAATTGTCCTCATAATTTCAACCTCCCTCGAGCGATAAGATAGAAACTGTCCTTACAATTTCAATCGCCTCCAAGTGATAAGCTAGACGTTGCCGCAATCTGAACAGCCCGCGAGTGACAATCTCACCAATTTTAAGCCGTACCAGGCGAACGCATAGCCAAAATCTTAAACTCAATCGAAACCAATCTCGCGCAGTTAAGATAAAGCGACAAGAAAATTAGGATAAGCTGGAAAAGAACATCATCATTACAAAATAAAAATTGTCTTAAGCTCCCTCACAAGAGCAATGAAATATCAAACGAAGATAGAGGAAAAGGATCACTAAGCTGAACCGCCACCCGCTGCAGGTGGCTAGTCAACGTCAACTCCAGTGTTGCCCGTTGAAGGGGCGGCAAGTTCGGAGTTCATGTCAGCGTCGCTCCAAAATTCCATGACGTCCTAGATAGCATTAGCATCCCCAACAACTCCGGGGTAATCACGACGAAACCATTGACGAATTGAGGAAATAATGTCCTTCAGCAACTTCTTATACTACGCTTCATCTTCCTTCATGAATTAGTCAGACTCAAGGAAAGTAACCTTGATGACCTCAACTGTATTGAGCAGCTCAGCTTAGTGGTTGTCCTCCATCAATGTCATGTCTTTTTCAACTTGTGCACTTCATCTCTCAAGCTTTTCTCACACTCGGCGGCCTCCAAGGACTCTTTTCAGAAGTGCTTAGTATCTTCCTTGGCCTGTTTCAGCTCCTCCCGCACAACAGCCAACTCGGCATCCTTCTTGGTATCAGCGGCCTCGTGGTCCTTGCTTAGTTCCTCCTGTAACTCCTGATTTGATCCCTCATGTCCCTCTTTAAGTTGGTGTTCAAGTTGAAGGATCTTGGTGTTGCGGTCGTCCAAGTCACTCTGAAGGCAGTCGTACACCATTTGGTTTCTCCCAAATTGAGTATGCAAGAATAGCCAAGTTAGAGGAAAGTAACCACAAGGTACTCACATCGTAGAAATCATGCTTACCGCAAACAAGCAATGCGCGGTTGCGCCGGCCAAGTGTCTTGTGTCAGACTTGCGGACAAGAGTACCCGCAACTCGGGTATAATCACTGAAGATCGTAAACTCCTCAGAAACGACGTGTAAAGCACGTTTGGCCGCATCATGGGACACAGTTGCATTGGGAGAAAATGCCACAGTCGCTGCAAGCTCCGTCATATTTTGCTTATTTTTATTTGTATAGGCAGCAAGGGGATCTAAAGGAGTGTTGTCTACAAGGAAGCCTTTCATCCTTGATTGATTTCCCGAGGACCGCTTATATGTAAGAGCCGCAATCTCCAGTGACCGCTTCCCATACCTGTGAATGGAACCCACCTCAACAAACTTGAGCTCCCCGGAATGACTCACAACCAGCTGTGTCTGAGCAGAAGGGAGAGGGACAATAGTCCGAGTCTCTGCGGGATCGACAGGAAGTGAAGCAACAGCGGCCGCAGAGGACACGGTGCCTGGCTTCGGCGGCCATGCCGTAGAAGCATACCATTGAATTCCTGCGAAAACAACCCATAAGTAAAAGCATGAGAGAACTTCGTAAAAATAACCATGGAAGAATTAACTGACAGTGAAAGCGCCAAACTATATCAGCGCGTTATCATGCCCTTTAGGAGGAAGAAGAAATTGGACGGTTGAAATTATTCGTTTGAGGAGGTCTTTGAAGGGTGCGAGAGAGTCAAGATTGGTGTTCCAATCCTCCTTATCGCAAACCGAGAATCCATTCGGCGACTCCACGTCACCAGAATACCACTTCCAAGTAGGGTGGGCAAAGAAATATTCTTTAAACCATAGAAAAAGCCCACTCTAGTTTCCCTCCTGTAGTATGACCAGCAGTTGTCTGAACCACGCATAATATACAAGAGGTTAAAGGCATCAAACAAAGGCTCCACCTCCATTCTTTTACAACCCGCCTGAAAGGTTATGGAATGAAAAATAATATCAAGAAAGCGCCTTAGCGTGCAGTTGAGATGCTGAAGAGTTCTAGTCAATTTGGGGTCAAGTGGGAATTGAAAAACCATCCTGATATGCTCCACATGAATATGAATCCACCCCCTTGAACAAGAAGCAGATCGCCCGACCGAAGAAGGAGCGGCGCATTCCCACTAAGGCGGAAGACCGTGATTCTTTAATTGACGGAAGACTTGAGAAGGCCGATAGGAAGCTTCGAACGGTGGCTCCTTCTTGAAAACATGCGAGGGTATTTCTTCCCCCTCCCACATGTCCTCGTGCAAATGTACGCGGTATGTGTCGTCAGCAACCGCCTAGAATGGCGTTACAGGTTGTCCCGAAGAAATAGTAAAAGGGGAGTCGGCCGCAAATTCGCCAAACTTTGTGTGGTTGCTGTGCACTTCATTAGTGCCTTCCAACGACAGTGTGATCACGAGAACGTCATAAGAAGACTCGCAGTCCATCGCAGAAGAGTCAAAGTCCAACAGGTTGTCGCCAACCATCGAACACGCCCCTCACAATGCTACGAAAGTTCCAGTATCGGTTAATGCATTCCCATCTAACCCTAAAAGGTCAAAGTTAGGACCGCATAGACTCTCGATCCCTAGAACGCCAAAATTCTAGTAACCGCATACAAGGAAAATATTCTCCAAATCGCATTCTATATCAGGGATACCAAAAGGTGAAAAACTTTCATGCATACCTTGGGCAACTATTTTAGCCTCGACAATACGACTGCTAGAAAGAGGGAAAAATGAAACTGTTGGCAGGGTTCGAAATTCAAATTTCGACAAGTGGATAATGAAAGAGGGGAAAATGAAATGCCCAAATCGTGGGCGGCTGAAGTCAGTAGGAACTGCATCCCTTGAAGGGTCTTCTTAGTTTCTCAAGCGGCCAGGGGCAAGGTATGGGGTGAGGTTAATTGAAAAAAGAATCGCTCCACACGATAGGAATAAAATCATAGCCGCCAAATTAAAATCCGAAGATTTTCCTTCCTAAGGGGCTATTGATGGGCTCACATGGTTGAGCAGAATCAGGCCCGAAGCCCAAGGAGGAAGGTCTATAAGCCTAGCCCAATAAGGGAGCTGACAGGCGGGTGGTGACGTTAGGCGGTCGCTCGTAGACAAGTCAGGAGGACCGCCTGACATAAAGCAGTGATGGAGACAGGTTAACATCGATTAGGATCTCTATCGGTACTAACTAGACCAAGCATTAATTATTGCCGTAGGCGATTCTGTATGAAATAGAGTAGCTTTAGGTGCCTGACATGGCATTTAATGCCTCTACTTGAGTGTAAATACCCCATGAGAACATTGATGATAAACTCAACCACTCGCTCTCTCTCTATAACTAACACATTCTCTATTCTCTCTCTCACTCAATCTTCGGAGGGTGTCCTGGGCGACCGCCCACGGACACTTGTTTTGCAGGGTTCGGAAGTGCATTCCCTCACCAAAAACAGACGCCTCGCTCGTGCTCTACACAAACCGCCTAGTACTTTCTAGGCTCAACAGAGCCTCTTCCCGATTTTGTGTGGAATTTGCACGACAATTCCATCCTATCCTTTACTTTTTGAGTTATTGAGAGAAAATACCAGAAAATTCGCAAAATATCAAAGCTGCGCGACTTTGACAAAAGAACCCAACCTTTCACGAGCTCAGACTCTTATAATGGGGAAAAGGGGAAACTTGAGAAAGACAAAGAAGAAAATTGACTCTTCCAGGATGAAGGGGCCGACGACAAGAGGGAAGAGAGGGAGAGGGATTTCGGTTGATTTGAGAGAGATATATATTGGTTTAGGGAATAATAGTTCTGTAATTGCTTCATGAGAAAAAGCTTACTAACTACAGAATATTTAGTCCGGTAAGAGTCGTTGATTGCTGGAAATTCTAAAGTAAAACGGTTAAAGAGAGGAAGGGAATAATAGATTATGGGAAAAGAAATAATTGTTGCCTCTAATATAAGTTTTTTCAAATCAGGAGAGAGAGAGCAAGTGGTTAGCAAAAATTGGGGGCTCTGAACGCTAAAGACCATCAATTGACAGGCACCTCAGCTAGGTTGGGATTGTCTCAACATAAACGGATCAGTAATCCATTTGAACACGACGGCAGGAGGCATCTTGATGAGAGACAATAGTAGTTTCATTACAACTTCCACCATGAACCTTGGGGGGGGGGGGGGGGGGGGGGGGGTTCAGTCTCCATGAAGAGTTAGTCGGGATTGGGAAGGGACTAAGGCTCCCTTCGGAGGCAGGTGATCGAAAAGTGATTCTACTAACGGACTCGATCGACTACAACTAAGGCTCTCGTAGATTTTACTACACCTCAACATTTCCACTATACGAGAGTCCCAGAGATACGAATTTTGCTAGCAATGGGATTGGCAGGTTCCCATCATGCATTTTTGCAAGGAAGCAAATGTTATTGTTGACTATCTTGTTGACCTAGGGCATCATTCAATATCGTATCATTGCAACACCAGATAATGTTCTATCCTACTAGTTGTACCACGATACTATAGACGTTCAAACTAACCATTTCGTGTCGTTATTAAATATAAATTGGGGCACTATTTAAGCGTCTTGTTTCTAAAAAACTAAAGAATAAGAGGATCACAAGGAGTCATGACAATTCAAATAGGCGACAATAGCAAAGGCTTTATTTCAAATTCCTTATATATTTTTAATATTTTAAAGATTTGATTTATTATTATGATAAATTATTTCACTACCACCTCAACAACTACATTAATTATACTTCAATAATTTATTAGTTATAAATTAAATTCTAAAACTAAACTAATTGGTCCAACTCCAATCCTTATATTATTATCGTACAAATGAGAAACCAAATGAAAGCTAACCGAAATGGGAAAACAACAGCAAGAGCAACAATGAAATATCGTCTAATCGCCTGTTCACATAACCATAAAAACATTTGTCATGCACTCCCGTGGTTTACACAAAGCTTTAAGTGGCTCAGCTTTAGGCATAACTATCCCAAGTCCTTCCTTCATATCTAACAGCCCTTCACCGATCCTTTCCCACTCAAAGCATTGTATCAAAGCTCCCAAAGCTGCACTCACCACACGGTTCGCCAGCCCGGACCCAGGGCAGGACCTTCTTCCCACACCGAATGGCAAAAATTTGTAACCATCTGATTCCACTCCTATAATATGTCTCTCAGGCCAAAATCTTGTAGGGTCTTCCCAAATTAAGGGGTCCCTATGAATTGCCCATGCATTAACAAATAACATGGTCCGTTTCGGGATAGGATAACCTCCAATGATACAATCCTCTAAAGACTGGTGTGGCATTAAAAGTGGCCCTGGTGGATAGAGCCGTAATGTCTCGTTAATGATACCCTGGAGGTACGGAAGTTTAGTGTAGTCGGATTCTTGTACTAGCCGATTGTGGCCAATTACAATGTCTAGTTCAGCTCTTGCCTTGGTAAGTATCTCGGGATGATTTAGTAGGAGTGACATCGCCCACTCTATTGTGCCTGCTGAGGTATCTGTGCCGGCTAATATCATCGTCTACAAATACAAAATATCAAAATTGAAGAAATTTATTTGGAATTGTTTCTACATATATTCTAAAATTACTGGTGAACCATAGTGGGTAATACAAATATAATTAAGATGTGTACAAATCCTACATATTTCTACTCGGAGTAGTAAATATTCATTTCTTCCAACGTGCCTGGAGCCTGGTTACACCACCTAATTCCGCCAGTATCCCCACACAGCTAATTTCCAGACTCTTCAACTCCCAAGAATTCTCTCCATTATTTGGTTTTTAGCATGGTCTTGGAACTTGGAAGGATTGAAAATTTTTATTCAAAATAGATTATTTTTTTTTAAATGCTAAATGGGTGTATGTGCTTGGTTCTTAAACTACACGAGATTGGGCTAGAGTCCAAATAGACTAATGTAGATATTACTTTGCAAATAACAGTTAATGCAATTTTCCTGTAAAAAAGCAACTAAAATTAAAACTAAAGTTAGAAAATATCAATTGTAGGCCAAATGAAATTGAACTTATTCTCAAGGGAAAAAAGAGTGACAAGAGTGAAGAAGACTTGATAAAAAAACAAGAATTGACAATGCTTTTTATAGTAGGATTTGAATGTGATATTTGCAATTTGGACTTTCGAATACTCAGATATTTGTTTGGATAATAAGTAAATATGACATTTTAATTTATCCAAATACCTGGGGTGAATTTTTCCCCAAAATTTGTAGATTTTTTCTTATAATAAAAAATATGTAAAACTAAGAGCACTACAAACTCATTCCACCTCGATAAATTTTTTCAAAATTCGAGTTAATAAAGAAGGTGGTACCAAGTGATAACAGGGTGCTAACAAGTGGTATGTGTGGTATGAAATTTTCTTAGATTCATGAAATATATTGAAAATTAATGTGGTTTTATAGATCACAACGATCTCGTTCCATATGTAAACTTTTGTGAAATCCAAATTAAAACGAAGAATATAAATCGATTAAGAAAAGTAGGAAAAATGAAGAAAAAAACTCATTAATTCTTTGGCCTACTTAAAACTAAGTGTCAAGATCTGATTATGCAAGTCTGCATAACCAACCGTGTCGTGGCCTAGATTATACAACAAGAGAAAAAGAACAATTCAGCAATTACTGTATCCATGAAAAGGTAAAATAATAATAACAGGCAAGTAATTACTCACCATAATCTGGCCTTTGATGATCTCATCGGTGTAGACTTGAGGTTCAGCTTCCTGCAAATTCAACATAGTATCGATCATCGTCTTCTCATTGCTGCCTTCCCTCTCTCCATAACTACTCCGGTGCTCCTCAATCAAACGTTGGAAGAACTCGTCGGTCCATTTGTGAGCGGCCCACATTCTTCCCTCAAGCCCACTGAAATCGACCCACCTCAGCACCGGCAGGAAATCCACCGGATTCGTCGTGCCGCTCAGATCAAACGACTCCCTTATCAACTTCTTGAACCTCTGCCCTTCGTCATCGTGACCCACTTCGCCGGCGCCCGTCCCAAAATATCTCTTTCCGGCGACCATCCTCATCACGATGTTCATCGACAACCCCATCAGCCTCGACCGCATGTCGACCTCGTGAAAACCGGAACCCGTGTAGACCAGCCCGTTGACCAGGCGCTGGACCTCGTCTTGGCGGACTTGGAGGAAGGAGTTGAGGCGGGCGGTGGAGAGGAGCTCGACGGTGGATAGGCGGCGGAGGTTGCGCCAGTGGGGCCCGTACGGCGTGTGTCCCAAGGCGGTGCAGTTGTAGCCGATGATTTTCCAGCCGAGTAAACCGTGCGGCCGGTCGGCGAAGACGGCGCCATTTTTGTTGAGGCATTCGTCGGCTAGAGCTGGGGATGACACGACGATGGCGCGTCGGACGCCGAGAGTGAGGGAGAAGATGGGGCCGTACTTGTGGGAGAGGGTTTGTAGAGTTCGGTGGATTGGCTCCTTGAGGAGATGGAGGTGGCCGATGAACGGGAGTGAAGGAGGGCTAGGTGGGAGGCTAGCTTGGTCATTTCGTTTGTTTTTGGATGAGATTAGGAGCTTGGAAATTATGAGGGCGAAGAGCTCATAGTGGTCTCCACCTTTCTTCCGAGCAGGCTTAGCCACTTGCTGCTTCGGCCGCCACTCCTCTTTGATCTTTTTGTTTGGCGGTGAGGTTGAAGGGAGTGGCGGCGAAGGCATGAGAGGGGAATCCTGTAAAACGAGAGGTACAGAGGGATACACGACAGGCTCGTGTACCTGGTGAGAAATAGCATGCATAGGTGTGACAGCAGGCATATCACAATGATCTAATTCAGACACAGAAAAAGTAGCATGTTCATTCCCATCACGCAAGATCAGTTTACCACTATGCACATCAATAAGTGCATTGGCGGTGGCGAGAAACGGTCTACCCAAAATCAAAGGCACATCCACATCCTCATTTATATCCAGAATAACAAAGTCAATAGGATATGTGAATGCGCCTACTTTAACAAGCAGATCCTCGATGATACCCCTAGGATGCACAATGGAACGGTCAGCTAGCTGAATGCTCATCCTAGTAGGGCTAAGTTCACCTAAGTCTAGCTTTTTAAACAACTTATACGGCATGACAACCAGTGGCTTGGGAGCAGGGGCTTCCTTCTCCACCCTCACTTCTGCATCGTCGACTGGAAGTGCTGAAGTAGGTAGTGGTTCCTCCTCCTGGCCGAGGCAGGTACAGCCGATGTTGGCTTGCCAATCCTGGTAAAGATGGCATCCAGCTGCTGGTGAGGCTCGCGAGGATTAGGGATGGTGGTGGCAGGCAGAGTTCCCGGTGCCCTGGTATTATTCTGGTGGGTTATTCCTCCAATCTGATGTTGGAGGTCCTGCAGTATGGCACCTTGGTTCCTCTGACCTGCCTCCAACGCGGCGATGTTCTAGTCAATCCTGGCGAAATTTTCCTGGCTGGTAGTCATGAATGTCGCTAAAATGTTTTTCAGCTCGGTCATATGATTATCTGGAGCTGGAGCTACTGCTGGCTCGGCATACTGACGCTGCGGCTGCTGGAATGGTTGCCCCTTCCTAGGCCGGTAAGGCTGCTGCTGTGGAACTGGCCCCTGTCTAGCCTGGTAAGGCTGCCTCTGTTGAAAACTACCCGATGGTGCTGGGAAACCATGTGGTCTAGTGGTGTTGCTATTCCAAGCAAAGTTGGGATGCTGGCGCCACCCCTCATTATATGTATTGCTGTATGGGTCAAGGCGCCGAGCATTGGCGATGAAGTCCACCTGCTCTTGGGGAGTAGAAGACTCTCGCATAGCCTGACAGTCTTCCACCAGATGATTCGGGCTCTCACACCACTGACATTGAGCTACTGGAGGTACAGCTGAACCTCTGCACGGAATAAGACTGTTGGGCTGCTTCAATGTCTGCACTAACTCAGCCACCTCCCACTCTAGCCCAGACCTAGCCTCCATGGCGTGTACACCTCGATCTCGGGAATTCCTGCCTCTGGTGCTCTGTCCCCAAGAATGATCTTTGGTAGCCAAGGTACTGATCATCTAGTTCAGTTCGGGTGGAGTCTTAGTAAGAATATCCCCTCCTGGGCATAGATACTCAATCACCCTCTGTCTTTCCGGAGAGAGAGCACTGTAGGAGTTCCCCACGGTGAATGCATCACTAAAGCCATGATGGGGACACTGCCAGAAAAATCCCATGTACCGCTCCCATGCATCATGAAGTGACTCATCTGGCTCTTGGCGAAAATGAGTGATCTCCCGCTGGATCTTTGTGGTCTTCGATGCCGGATAGTACCTGTGCACGAACTTGTTAGCCAGATCGTCCCACGAAGTGATGGACATTGGGGATGTAATGAGTTGAATCCAACATGGCTTGATCTCGAAATTATTCGCTGGAATGGGCGGATAGAGGATGACAGGGCGGATATCGGTGACCCGTGGAGTGTAATAGTACTCCAAGGTGGGACCCGGCGGTGGTGGTGGATGCTGAACCCCATCTGCCTGGGGTATGGGGTTGTTCCCCAAGATCTGATTCGCCGGGGGAACCTGGATAGGTATCCCCTGGGGTGGGTTGTGTTCACCTTCCATCTCGTACTCTTCCTCAGAATCGCTGCTCAAGTGGCCGTCTATGCGCTCCTCCGTAGCCAATCTAGCTCGCTGTTGTCTCCTAAGTTGGCGACAGGTGCGTTCAAGCTCCGGATCCAACGACAGTAAACCTCCCGACTGGCTACGGGTCATGCACTATCTACACACAGTCAAGCAATGCAAGCCCGTGAAGGCACAAATGGGAAAGAACGAACAGTCAATGCAGAAATGAAAAGGCTAAAGTAACAAAAATCGCGTTTCTTCAACAACCTAGCCATCCCCGGCAACGGCGCCAAAAACTTGACTCGCTCCTACCGTCACTCTAGAAAATGGCCAAGTGTAACCACTTCCTAAAGCGTAGTATAGCGGGTTTGGGTTTTAATGTCAACCCGGGTCCTAGATGTGATGACTACTCTGTGAGTTCTTATTATTCAGCAGTGAAACTTTAGTGAAGATCCTAACAAGCAAACAAGCAAAGCAAGTAAAAAAGGGTTGTTTTCGAGTCGAGAGAGGTCACCAGGATATGGTTCCCCCTAGACTGCAGTTAAGCCGGATTGTAATTTACCAAGTTCAAGTTCAATGATAGTTATATTGCGGGAGGTTCTTAAACAGTCTGCAGTCTCGACTAAAGGTCTCCAGACCCTCTCAATCTGAGTCCCCAACGGGCGACTAACCTCCACCGGAGTAAACAGATTGAGGCCCTAACGAACCAAACCTCCACTACCGAAGTAAATTCAGTACAGAATAGTGAATTGACTCCTCGACTAAAGTTGTCAACTCACTACCTTCAATCAAGGATGCTCTATCAACCTAGGCAGATATTCTCATTCTAGGTCAAAGCAGAAATAACAGGAATTTGATCAATATTCATGCCATTCAACAATTCAAACCTCAATTGAATATAATCAAATCATAGAATCTGTACTTGGTTTCATACAATCAGACCTAACACACAAATATAGGGTTCTTCATACCCAGGTGAATAAGAAAGTTACTACATAGAGAGTGATGTAAAATCTAGCTCAGATGCGGAAACCATACTGTGAAGGATGATAATCTGCTTCTGGCACTCAATCGGATCATCTCTAAGCTCAAGTCGGGCTCCAATGGTGATAGAGATCGATCAAAGACACTTCAAGACTCAGGTTCATCACTTTCTCTCTCTAGGTCTCACTTTTTCTCTCTAAAACTCGGACCCCTTCTCCTTTGGCTGGAAATTGGGTTAAAAGCAGAAATTCCCGATCACACGGCCAGGGCACACGGTCGTGTGACTTTCCCAGCTGCCTGTGTGAGTGTCCAAATGCGGCGTTTCGATTAGTGGGCTTCCAGACATGCTGCACGGCCAGGGCCACACGGTCGTGTAGATTCCCAGGCTGCCCGTGTGGAAATCACCGAGCCTTCACACGGCCACAACGGGTCCCCTACATGGCCAGTGTGGCTTGTCCGTGTAAAATGGTGCCACACGGCCACGTCATACGGCGGTGTGGGATTTTAGGCGCGCCCGTGTGGCTTCCTCAGATTCTCGCCAAACATCCAATCTTCGTCCAATCGACCCCGAACTCGTTCCCAAGCCTTCATTCACGTGCTAGGACCTGAAATGTCACAAACAAGAACAACCTAGCATGAAATCGGCCTAAAACGCGAGAATCGACATCTCAGACGGCTCAAGAATAGGGGTAAAAACATGTGCAATCAATGGTCTATCACTAGGATTGTTGGGAACTTGATGCTGCTGTGTTGTGTTGCTGTTACTGTGATTCGTTGTTGGTTGTTGTTGTTTTGTGTTTGTGTTGCTATTGTGTTCATATTTGCTGCTGGAGTGCTGGTCTGCTGTTGCTGGAGTGTTGATGCTAGTCTGCTGGTCTGTTCGTGTTGCTGGAGTGCTGCTACCCTGCTCCTGTGTTCGTGTTGCTGCTACTTTTTATTTCTTGCTTTTAATGTTGCCTTGATTGTTGAGAGTAGATATTTAATGGATGTTGATGGATCGTGGATGTTGCTTTGATAGTTTGCTAGTTAGAACTTAGAAGTTTGAACGATGCAGTTTGCTAGTTTCAATTATGTTCAATTGTTTTCTTTCGGTCTCATTCAGGTTTTAGTTTTTATATGTGAGTGTAGCGGGTAAAGCCGGACCAACCGGGTATACCCCAACCCGGATGGATACGGGATGGATATTGATTTAATATCTATTGACTATTCCGGATGGGTACGAGTAAAACCCGTTTGTAATTGCGGACGGGGCTCGGGGAGCTACTACCCGGTCCCATACCCTCCCGTTGCCATGCCTAAATTGGGCACTGTCCATCTACAAAGAGTAGTAGATATCATATCAAAGGGGGAATCAAGTATTTTAGTTTCATTTAAGGGAAATTGAGTTGGGATTTGTTTCTAATTTTTTAATTAGAATAGTGAAGGGGATGCTTTGCTTTTGCTAGGATTAGAGAACATCTCTAATTGACTAATGAAGCCGAATATGAGGGGTGTTAAAGTTGGGTGCAAGTATTTAGCATTTGACATTTTGGCATAATCAACAACTAAACATATTCCAACATAATGCTGGAAGCGAAGAAAAAGATTTGTGGAAGTGGGGGGCACTACTCATGACTCATTACCTCCTTCTATCTAAATTTGACTTTAAGCCCTAATTTAATTAATCTATCTATGGGAGGGGAGGGGTAGCTCACTCTACTTAATTCCCTCAAAAGTCATCCCAAAGATTCTCAGCCCAACACAGCAAATAATAAAATCAGATCTTCACAACTCAGCTTGCATACCCATCAAATCAAATCCATCCTCAAACTTTGGTCTCCCACTTGTAAGAAGAAGAAATAGGCATATGCTTCAAAATATATGGTTCGGAACTCATCACATCATTCTATCCTTTTATGAGTTCAAGAGAATGGGCTACCATCGTTGAGACATATT